TGAGGCAATAATGTATAGTAGCCCTTAAAAGGCCTGTTGGTACCGGCAAAGGGCCTCCCGATCATGCTGTCTATCTCTGCTAGGGGTTCATGCACCCTACTAGACCCTATCACACCATTCTTGTCGTCTTGTTCTACTTTGTATGGCCACTCCCCTTGGCAATAGTCAGGACACCGGAGGTTGGTTTGCAGTAAAAGTCCTGATATTTTTGCGCCATCCCAAGTCTCCAAATTTTCTGCCGATGTCCTACTACTTTTCAGCAACGGGCACGCTCCGATGGGAAGTAAAAAGTGAAATAAGAGAAAGTTTCATGAACACCATATCAAATAACTGTACTGTATCGCTGCAAACACTGTTAGCTATATGACGAATGTAGTATGGGTGACAAAACAAACTGTATGTAATATTTCCCTTGCTTTTCAAGATAACATCAACAAAAGCACCTAAATTTTGTGATATATCAATGCCATATGTTGTTAGTGCCACCTGGAAACACATGTTCCTTTAGAAATATGCTATTTTATTCCTTCTTTTCCTCTCTTTTTCTGATAGCTAACGTTTTCTTAAATAAATATATTTGAAATCCTCTATCAACCAACTACATACTTATATGTTTTGTGTATAACATAAGAATTTTCTTATTAAAAATTTGCTCATTGTACTTTCAAACATATCATATTTTTAATTATCAATGTGCATATGTATACACAATCCCAATTTTAGCAAATAAATCTATCAATCTATCTTCCGTTATCGTCAAACCCCTCGCGGGGACGTAGACATGCTATGGTAAGACCTAAATAAGCGTCAGTTTTCGGTTTTGATTCTTTTTCATGCATTGTATATGTTGTAAAGTCTGTAAATTGTAAGCAAATATACTTGTTTGAAATTATCTATAAAAAATATGTAAATTGAAGTCCGTGATTTAGGTTTAGGACCTAGCGTGAATCTCTCTATGTTATAAAATTTATTTAGATCTAGGTCGCGCACGTGCAGCAGATTTATGTTGTTGATTGCTCAATTTATGATCAAATATACGCTTATCCAGTAGGTGTTTTTTTTTCTCCTACCAGGCCCAGCATATGAAAATTTTGCAGTGTCCAACCTTATATTAGTTTCCTGCCTATTTATTGAAGCGCTACCAACAAAGAATAATAATTCATATTGCAAAAATAGATAGTTTTTAATTTATCATATAAAAATACAAATTTTAAACGTATTTTTAAAATCTAAAACAATACCGTGTGCTGTGTTCTGTTTAATCATAGAAACATCATACATATTTTGTCCCCGAAATAAGCTACCCTTTTTACCGCCGTTTAAAATTCATGAAAATGTAAACAAGTAAATTTTGGTTTTATCGAAATTATTTTAGAATTAAACTGTCAGCTTGCATAAAATGTATATCAAACAAGTAAACATTTGATTTAGCCTAGTTTGATTTCACTCTTTAATTAGTATATCTTTTTGAGTTACCTTTTGTTCCCGGTTGTCTGTTTCATGTTTAGGGTCACTTGCGGCAAAATTTTAATAGAAATATATTTATTGATTGATGTTTCTTGCGACATTTTCATTGCAACCTACCCAAGCATTTAAAAAAAACCAAAGCATCAATTACCTTTATAGTTAAAGATATTATAAACGGTAACGAAAGAAAAGGAAACCTGGGATCGAAGAGCATGTATCATTATATGATTCAGATGCTCATGGTATATATTAAGCATTTTTATAAATGCTATAACGCTATAACTCTTGGAAGTTCTTATTAAATGTCCGTAAATTACTAACCATCTAATCAGCATTACGTAAAAAAAGAAATCAAAGGCTTTTTTCCAAAAATGATGTCTACCTGATGTGTTATTAAATCATTAAATCAGAATTATGAAACCATTCTTTTTCTATTGTTGGTAAAATGTGAACACATTAATTTTATAAGACTGACAATTTCGTCTCCATTTTCAACATATTGCTTACAATCCTATATATACAAGTTTTAATTTTAAAACGGTTGATTTAAAACTGTCAAATTGAATGCAGGGTGAAGTCATTTTACCTATCAAATTGCTAGTAGCGTGTTGTTTGGTTAAAAACATGAGTTTATCGTATTAATTTCTTTATTTTTAAAAGGGATTTAAACGCCCTTTAAAAAAAACTCAAATTTAGGCAATGCACCATGTGTTTTTGAGGGTAGTGTAGGAAAATGTTGTTATTTAATTTTGTCAGGAAATACAAAAACAAAAACCGGTTTGCAATTTTACAGTTTTTATTTCATTTTGCATTTGTGAAATTTTTGGGGAAAAGGGGAAAAATGAAACACAAACAAACAAACAAAATATTCATTTTGATCTCACCGCAAACAAGGCATTTCACCCTTCGTTTAAAGTTAAAGTCCTATACTCGTTTCCGGTACAATTGTACTGTAAAACAACGACAAAAATAATCATTCAAAGTTGTTAAACAATATTTAGGAGATTAGGGTGAATTTGTCTACAATGGAACGTCTGCAATACAATGTGACAACACCAAACCGCAATAGAATTATACATATAACTTTTGGCATGTATGAGATACATGATCCGATAAAACATATATTTATTTAGCAGAAAATGGTTTAATTCTAAATTACTCTGCAGACATTTTCACACAAAAATCTAACGACAATATTTTATCATTTGTGAAATCTTACGAGAAATTTCTATTCACAAAATATCTTAGGAAAATCTTAAGTGCAAAATCTGTCGTACATTTACAATAGGTGTTCCCCGTTCGTGTTATTTTTCTCTCTTAAGTGTGAAACATCATGTATCTTTTATCTAAACAAAATAAAAACAATCAAAAAATGAAAGGACAAATATTATATTAAGGAAGGAAACAGTTTGTTGTAAATAAAACATATTGGGTCAATTTGGATCTTTTATAGCCAGCTCTTTTGAACTGTATGTCGATGTATACATCATCAGCTAGTTTCGTTTAATCTTTCTCCCTTTTGAAATCTGGTGAAAGTAAATAACTTCTTTGAGCAAGAACGTATAAGAATTAAAATTGAAAATTGCAGACTCAGTTTGGATCAGTCTGTTTATGAGTGATAGGAAAGGGTACAATATTTCCTACCATCATAAACCCTGTTAAGTGGGCACTAAACGTTTTTGAATAAATGACATGTTCACAACACAGAGATATAAAAACGGAACAAGCTTTCACAGCTGCATCAAAACACGTGACAACTGCTATTCAACTCGGCAAAGTTTTTTTCTTTGTTTAAAACATAAAACGAGAATTACTTATATGTAAATGCAGGGCTAAGAGTTAGGTTTGATGTAGTATTTACTAGTTTAATCTCCTAGTTAGTGCTATTGCTGCGGCGCCCCTCTGTCTTCCTAAGATGAATGTCTTGTTTATTGCTACATGCTTATTGCGGTAACACTTCTTGTTTTATGTTGCCAACAGTAAGATTTTTTTCCCTTACTTTTCAAATGTAGCTCCTCTCTGATCGCTTCCCTTTACACCTTATTCCTGTGTTGTCCTTTTAATAAAGTATACTGGCTTTCTTGTGATGCTCCTTTCAATATATAGATCATGAATAGTTTACGAATACATATATTTTTCTGAACCAATTTAGATATATTGAAAAAAAAGAACGAAATGAAAAAAAAGAACATAAAATCTAAACAAGAAAGAATCCCTCAAATCAAACAAGGCAACAAAGCGCACCCCTTGACACAATCCAGCCATACTAACAGAGTACTCAGAAAGCATTGAACCATAAACAGGAGAGGGCAGGACGGTGGAGAAAGGAGGGAACGGACGTTTCCACGAACTGTTACAATAAAGCATATAATAAGGGAAATGATAAAATTTAAGAGGGCTAATACGGGAATAAACGGGAAAAAGAATGTTATGAAAGAAAAAAGGGGCAAGGGAGGGGCGGAAGGGGGCTAGGAATGCAATATGAAGGCGAATATAAAAAAGGCTTACCGCTTACGACAATTAACAAGAAAGGAGATAGAAAAATAGAGAATGTGCCAACAATAACGATATGCGTCACACGATGGGGGATATCATTTCAACGGACTTGCTATTGTTTTGATAAATACCCATTTAAAGACAGAAATCTTCACAGTTCGCTAATGAAAGACTTAATTGATGCAAAAACGGAAGTGGTGCTTTAAATATTTCTTCATCATGGAATAAGATTGAAGATCAACTATGTAAAGCAAAGTAAAACAAGTACCGGACATGTGACTGAAAAGATAAGAACTACTCAGTAATTTCATTTAATTATAAGCTTTTGAATTGCATTAAAAATATCTTACTTCATTCTTCCTCATCCGATTTATATTTTTAAGTGCGTTTTTCTTTTTTTTCTTGACAGAAGGATCTGTAATGTTGTTAATATTTATTTTATATATTAACCTTGTGAACCTAAACTCAATAGAGGTCTTCTACCCAATATGGGCAATCACCATATGAAGTTTGAATATTGTGGGCCAAACGGAACTTAAGTTATGCTTCGGATACTGTTTTCAGTTTTAAGGTAATAGTGACCTTGACCTTTGACCTTGTGACCCCAAAATCGATAGGGGTATTTTACCTAATATGGACAGTCACCATATGAAGTTTGAATATTGTGGGCCAAATTGAACTTAAGTTATGCTCTTGAAACTGTTTTTCAGTTTTGAGGTAATAGTGGACTTGACCTTTGACCTTTGACCTTGTGACCCAAAATCGGTAGGGATCTTTAACCCAATATGGACAATCATCCAATGAAGTTTGAATATTGAGACCAAATGGGACGTAAGTTATGCTCCGGAAACCAAATTGCTAACGGACGGACGGGCTGGGGGTATAACATTATATACTTTTTCGGGCATATAAAAATTATAAAATATATATTATTTGATTACAAATTGATAAGAATGGTTAATATAAATGTAATTAATTCATCTTAATATCACTTCATTGACGCTTAACCGTAAAGTAAACATTCAAGTATGCATTTACGATGTATTTGAAATTACCTACCAAATTGTATACATTTCAAAAGGAAACCCAACATATTATCGAGCTATGACAAATCGCATATTTTTAAACTGAGTGATTATTTTCGATTTTGACACAAGAAAGGTAAATAAATATTTATTGTTTAGACGCATTAGATATTTATTTCATTTTTTTTTAGATTTTATTGACTTTTAGATAGTCATTTGATTCGATATAAATATTTAATTATTACCTTTTAATCATCGTTCAACTTAAATTACTCTTAAATTACCGATGTATACTTGTATCATTTTACGTTGTTTGCCAAAATTGTGTCAGCTGTACATTCATGTTGTTTCCAGTGTCAACAATATTGTTTACATTGTAAGTCAATACTGTTTCCGTTGTATATAAGTATTGCTCCTATCATATGTCGATATTGTCCATAGGCAGGATGTCCGTAGCCAAGTGGTTAAGCCGTATGACCAATTGCCTCTCCCCGCTGCGGGTTCAAATCTCGACATGGACTTTGGATTCTTTCATGTGAGGAAGCTATCCAGCTAACTTACTGAACGTCAGAAGTTCTACCTAGGTGCCCGTTTGTGCATGAAATAATGCACTGAAGGACTGATTATGTCTTCATCCACCTTTAAAACTAAAACGTCGCCATATGACTTATACTGTGTTGCCTTACCAACACATGATATGGTTTATAAGACGATTATTCATCAAGTTGTGTATAGGCAAATGTGTGACTCTTGCTCAGTTTTAAAACTCGACGTTTGAAAGTGAGTTAGTCTATAATTGAAGGTGGTAAATGTTATTTTACAATAAATAATGATGTTGATTGTATTTAATATCAGACATTACAACAAGCCAGGATAGAATTATTAGCAAGCATAAGAAACATGATCCGATATTACTCTATATGTTGTCACCTTAATGCAGAAATAGGTTAACTCCTTATATAATCTAATAGAAGTTAACTTGTTACTGCACTAAAGTGACAGTATTTTAATACAGAAGACAAAAATTGTTCTAGAACAAAATATAATATTCATTGTTCATTCTAAATCACTTAGAAATTAATCAACAATTATTTCAAGAATTAATTTACAAGTATAAGCTTATCCAAATGATACATTTCATTGTTCTTTTTAATCAACTTTTGAAATACTTATAAAAATTGTGTCAATGTTTGCCCAATCCACGTTAACTGAGGTTATTGTGAAAAAAAAAATGATCGAGCAAGATCATGACAATGTTGTCAATTACCCTCATCTAATAAACGATATATAATGATCATTTATCATAATTGAATCGGAATATCTTGTAGTGTGTGAATTGATATTACGCTTAAATAAAAAAAACATAGCTTTAATTTCGTCAGGTAGATTTTAAATTTCGTTATACAAATACGCGATAACAATAAATTAGGTCATCAGTCGTATTTTGTCAAATTGTTAACCGGGAAGTACATGTATATTTTTCTTATACGTAATCTTTACACGCATGGCAAGTAAACCTTCATAATTATAACAGTCTGTATTTCATGCGTAAAAAGGGTATACACCTAAAGATTTGTTGATTGCTATTTATACCACTGATTGTAAACATCCAAAAATAGCAAGAGCTGATATTTATTGAATATCTCAAGTATTTCGTTTCATATCAGTTATTAAGATAATCTCAACTATTGTATTATTTGTTCAAAGGCACGGTCAAAATATTTAAAAGCGTTGGTTATATGATACATTTTAATAATCTTTCTTTTTCAGGTGTAATTAAATTGTTTTGTTTTTAGTTTAAGGGAAACAATAGAAATAATTAACAAAGCAAGAGGCATGGTATGTCCTAGATACTATGGCGGAAACAGAGGCAACAACTGAGATATTAAGTAATAACTCATATATACTATATATCCTTATCATTTATAACACTATAAGGTAAATGTACCTTTGTTTTCGTTCATTAACACAAGCAAAACCACGAGGACGGATATATAACCATAGCCCGCAGAACGAGGGATTTTCAAAGTCCGAGAGCTTCTGCAGATTAATGCACGATAAAGGTACATTAGTGCTATTCTGGCATAAAAGTATGCATCTAAGTCTTTTTTTCTACGTTGTGTTATGTATTTACCGTACAAAAGTATAGGTTTTTTATATGCTTTTGAGATAACGAAAGACTCACGAGTTTGACTTGACATTTATGGTTTAATACTAAATTACCGGGCTGTATGGTGCTCGAGTCACGTAAAACCGTAAAAGCACTGAACGTGCCAGCATGATTTTCTGTTAATGAATTTATTTCTGTCAAATAATATTATCTTATGCAAGCAGTGCTGTAAACTAGTGTTATATATGATTATGAGGTTAGTGAATTTATATATTTTAAAACGTTTAATGTCATTATATAAATGAACTAAATGATAAAGTTGCAAATGATAAGTATGATTGTAGTACAATGTTTTGAAAATAATTTTCAGGCTCAAGCTGAACACCCACATTGTGAGAAAATAACTAAATAAAATAATCAATGTGGCAATTAATAACAAGTTTGAGCTGAGGTTTTATATATATTGTAAAATCATTTCTAATCGTGTCTGTGAATAAGTTAGAATTTTTTTCAGCATTGTACGAGTATATATCATAAACTTGTTTATTGTATTGATTTTGTTAATCCTTCTCTTACACAAGGCACATCAGCTGTTAGAAAGTATTTTGATATCAAGCATTGTGGTAATTTGCATGTAGAAAAGAAGAAGTGGGCTTTCTTTTCTAAGACAAAATGTAAGTACAAATAGTTTTTGAATTTAGGACACATTATAAACTGTATTATAACAGACGAATTATCATTGGCAACGTTCATTAAGACATCATACTTATTAAGTCAATTTATGTATTTGTTCATTTTTTGTGTAAAGATTTCTTGCAGCTTTATTTATTTAACAATATTGTTTTAAATTGACAATAATTTGCTATGCGTTACCAGTGTACACACAGAATCACCGTACCACATGTTCCCGGTGTTTTTATCTGAGATTGTTTGTACTTGATCATGAATCTAAATTGATTTTGCATTATTTCTAGTTTCTTATTTTGCGTAACGTTTATTCTACATATCGCTATGTATTTTTTTAAATAAATGAATGATTAAATTCAAAAGTTTCAATATTATATCTGTAGAAAATAGTTATCACTTAGACCTAATAGTGCAATTTAATTTATATCACATAGCTGTTAATCACAAAAATGAATTGTCCTTGCCAATTCGATTCTGTTCACTTTAGATGCCAAATTCTTTCCTTTGCCAAATGTTATTCTCATTGTCATTTTAATGCCAGAAGTTATCCTATTCTTACACTTGTAACATGGGTTATTTGTTAAATCTTGAAACAAAACACCAGTATCATGTGTAACGTAACAATGTAAGAACAATGTACTCTTAAATAATGTTGTTTTTTTATTTTGTTTTTTAAGGGGATCAGAAATACTTTATGATATCAAAAGGGGCCAAATATAGTTGCAAATGGAACTTTTTTTGTTTTGAAAATACATTCGCTAGTAAACAAGAATGGTCAATACAGATGTCAGACATGGAAAGGTATATCCGATATTCTTTGGCTTTAATTGTATATGAATCATGTTTGAATAGCAATAAAAGAAAAATGTAAAAACGCCTTTCATTTCAAATACATGTATTCATTTATACGAAAAATATTCATTCCTCACATGAAAAGATGATGTTAACGTTAAATTTGCTTTACTACTTACACATGGACCTTGTGCTTATACTTGCAATTGCATGAAACATTTGTATAGGATTTGAGTTATCAGAGTCAAAATATATGTACCTTGATGTGTGTGCTTATTGTTATGTACTAAGTGTTTATCATTATTAACATTTCCATGTCATTCTATAATGATAATGATAATAATAAACCTACAAATACTAGGCAGGTTTCGAATCAATAATAAAAACTATTGAAACTGTATTTTATCATATACATATTTTAATAGATAAACGCTTTTTAAGGATGCACATTTTATCAGATTCATATATTTAGTAAGTTCGATTATGAATTTAACGGTTGTTTTAAATGCCTTTAAGCGTCCGGGAATATGGCAATAAAAGTGACAAAGATTTTGTTGGGATAAGAATAATATTCATTACCCATAGGCCGGAGATGATATTAAGATGCGACACGGAACAGAATAGAGAGGTAAGTCTTTAATATGTTAAATGAGAAAATTTATATCAACAGACATTTAAACAAATATAAATGTTAGTCTTGTGGAATACTTTACTCTACTAGAATATAGAGAGTTTTTTGAAAATATTATTTAACATAATAAAGTGATTTACCTTTTCAATATTCAGATTTTAAACTTAAACAATTTGATCATTGAAGGTTTAATGATAAAATAAAAGATACTTACTGATTTCAAAGGACATTGTAGGTTGTTATCAGGATAAACCATCAATTAACTGTTTGCAAAAAACAACAACACCACATATGACGTTTTGCAGATTTCATTTGTACACTTACAGTATTGTCATATATTTTCGTCACCAACAGATTAAATATATTCATGTTCATTTTTTTAAATAGTTCGCCACAACTCCTGTAATTTTGTATGCTATTTTTCATTTGAATAAAGGTGTGGATAATAAACATCCGTGAAGCAATCCAGGAAGCTCATTCAGATTCTGTGTAAGTAATAACTAAAGGATTTTGCTTAAACATTTATATATTGGTTGGGTTATGTTGAAAAAAACCAATGACCATTTTAATATATATTCAAAGATTATCATGCAGAAAACATTTCCTATATCAAAACTATTACAACAAAAATACATTACTTAGTAAACATGTCACAATTAAAATAACGTTTAACAAATTGAAGATTCTGTTTTGAGAGCAATGGAATGTGTGATAATGTACTAAGAAAATAAGAAGCCCCAAGAACCAAATCTATAAATAACTTTCATATAAATCAATCATCCATCATAAAACTTGATCTACAAGTTCATTCAACCATAAACAAAGAATGAAAAACAATTGCACACAAAGCACAAGGACAAACTTGGTTTGGCTTAGTTCCCAAACTTGAGTGATTGCTGTAAAGTCTATAAAAATAAGATTTTATTATTTTCATGCAATCTGTACCTTTTGACGATACATTTTGTTTTCTTACTAAAAATACAGGTCAACATTTTATAATAATTTAAAATATAATCTCAACACCAGGCTGTAGTTATATGTTCTCCAATCACGAGATTTAGTCAAATGCCACGATATTCAGTAAATCATATACAAAGAAGATAAAGTAAAGATTTCTTACTAATACACATTCAGCATAAGTCCTTGCATATTCATTCGATTTTTTAATTAATAAGTAAACATTTATATGTTTTATACAGTGACAGTGGGTTTGAAAGCGGTGGTTCAATTGCTAGAAGTGAGTAATTTACCAATTCAAATTAAAGTGTAAATTATGAAAATCATTATTGACTGCAGCTTTATGAAAACGGAAGGACATCAACAAGAATACTATAATTATAATTATGTTAATGATAATAATAATTCTAATTTTGCTGGAGTCTGAAATACCTTATTCAAATTATTTAAACATGATAGATACACTCACAAATAAACACTTATGTTATTTTGCAACATATACTAGTTAAAGATAAAAAAATATATATCATAATGTAATGTCGTTGCCTTTGATATATCAGGATGCATCACCAGAGATTCTAGGAGGTCAAATAGACAAAGCAATAAATATCACACAATCGATGAAATTGAAAGTGATATTGAAGATGATAATATAACTGAAGGTGGTAACTATATCTTGTTTGTCATGTTTACTTTGATATCTTTATTTGAAATGATTTTCATGATTTTTATTGGACATCATAGCTATTTTTTTATATGTTAACATAAGTAATATTCTGAGCACTCTGAATACGTCAATATATCCCTGGTGCTACAAAACTTAAAATTGTCCAGAAAACCATTTTAAATTCAAATTCAGTCTGAGAATTAAATAACTTCTACTCATATAGTATGTGTCATGAAAACCATTATAAAGTTTTAAAAATCATATTTTTCTTTTTTTTTTTCTAATCACAGAACTAAGTTATCATGTTATTCATATATCGATACCACATCAATGTTTCTTTATTTTCTAGAGCAGAAATGTACATTACAATAACATTTGAATAATCACATCTGTAATATACATTTGCCGTCAATCTTGCACAGAACTGTGCATAAGTAACAATAACTGATCACACTTTTGTCAACATTTTCTTTTTTATTTGTCAACAGAAAAACAATCACCCGTCGATATTGCGTCAGAAACAAAAGGAAGTGACATATTCAAAAAAAGCGATGAAACGTCTGGAATAAAAAAGAAAACGAGACATTACGAAAATGTCCTTCCAGACGGTGAGATTAAATTCCCTCTATATACGAGATTTTTTCATATTTTTATGCTTCCAGAGTAACGGACACTACAATAAAACAAGTAGTTTTCTTATGAGTGGTTTCTTGTTGATATTTGCTTTTAGACAAATATTTCTTATAACATTTATCCTTCTTTTTTGCATTAACTGATGTTTTAATTGTATTATATTAACATATTTTGTCGCATATCATCATCTGTTATATAAATTATCATAATAATATTTTCATAAATTATTGTAAAATTATAGATAAGCAAAATTACTCAACGATATAAATTTATAATTTAACTTATTGCCTCATTAGTTTCTTTCTTTCTTTGTTTAAATTATTGTCTGGATTAAATTTTCTGTTACTTGTAGTATAGAAGAATTTCAATTGAAATATCTACGAAACAAAATATTTTTAAGGTAACATACGATTTAATATACAAGATGATAATGACAAAAGAAATGGTGAAGGGAGAGAAATTTCGTCAGACACTCTTTCGGTTCCCATTCAGGTGGACGATGGTAATAAATCTGTTCTATATGTTGTTGATTTTTCTACTTAATTGATCAAATATATTCCCTATCATTTGCAATCAAACATTAGTCTCGAAAAAACAAAATTGCATGCAAACAAGTAAAAGTTTGTTTATTTGCTTACCTGTCTGATTTGTACACAAGTTGATCCAATTTCGAAGGTCTGTTCACCTAACCGGCTTTCATGAATACCCAAGCAGTAAATGTCAGTCTTACCCAATGCCCGACTGTTTATCCTACCCGACTGCTTATCCTAAATAATAAATCAACGGTTACAAACTCGATGATTTCCTTGTTGACCTAAACGGACAGACGAAGTGCGTTTAAATTGATGCCTTTACGTTTATAGTTTCATTTTGTATCATATGACTTTCATTGTTCATGGTATGAAATATAATCGTAAGTGTCTATTAATTAAAAAACTTCTGACCCAGGTGCATGATTCGAAACATATAGAAAGGCATGAGACAATAATTTAAACGACATACTGATTAACAAATATCCTGCAGGACCCAGAACCATGTGACACAAATATCAAGCCAGGCCAGCATACACCTCCATGCTCTTTACAGTTTGAATATTATTTCCTAATTTGATATTTTGATTCTTTAAACTTTGAATAGATTTTTTCATAATAAAAACAGGGCGGATCCATTTAAAAACAGCACGTGTACGGTCAGAAACATAAATATCTGAAAACTGTTAATATGTCAAATATTTAAGTACAATCGGACTACTTCCGTTTCATTATGCTGTTTTGTACATGTACCAAGGTTAATAACAAATTGCTTCTCAAGGGTTTGTTATCATAACAATATCACGGATAGAGTAATTAATTTTTGGATAAATACAGTTTTGTCAATTGACAAAATATATACAATTTTGTCTTTCATGTTTGCCTCTCAAAGTGGCAAGTTATTAGAAATGTTTCATTTATACTGAACAGATATGGCGGGACTGGAATTCAATACAATGGAGGAAACATATGCAAAAGAAATTGAGCCGTCTAACACACAAGAGGCTGAGGGTAAATATTTATTTCAGCCATGTGTCATAAACAGACAACAGATAAGATAATATAAATATATATGGCTTAATTGAATCAGATTGATGTCCCTTTCCAATTTTGATATAATTTCATGATTACAAAGTTCTCATTCTATATGATGTGTTTGAAATAAACTTTAAAAACAACAATATGTTGAAGGTGCTGTCATAATGCGAAGTCTTGCACAATCTGCATCTTTTGCATCCATAAAAAGCGATCAAGGAGAATCAGTTGAAAATTCATTTTCCATGGTGTCTATAAGATCACATGAGAGTCAAAAGAGAAATTTGAATGATAATGGATCGTGTTTAAAGAAAGGTCAATGTAGGGATAGCAGCAGTAGCAGTGGTAGTAGTGGGAGCGAATCAACTCCCATCGATACACCGGCTCGTTTAACAGAGGTCTGTATGATAACAAAATAAGTACCTTAAATTTTGTAACCCAGTACATGTATATCTGAGTAATTCATAGTTAACTTTATTACAGAATATTCACCCTTACAAACGACCGTTTCATTTGATACCGCAAAAGTTATCACACACGAATAAAATAAGGAAAATGTCATTTGGATATTCGGTTTTGATATATCATGAACGAAGACAAACATACTGTCAATATTTGTTTGTTAATATGCAAGTTTAAATCACAGTATCGAGACCAAAATGTGTTATAAATAATATTCATTACAAAATAATTAAAAAATGAGAAGGAAGTATAATTGTTTCCGACTCTAATAAATTGAACCAATCATATTGATGAATCAGGGTTGGCTTTATGCATCGTAAATAATTTAAATACAACATTTGTTAAATTTAGATACTAAGTTTTGTAATAAAACAAGTGCCTTTGATATATCTAATTACATAAATGCGATATAGTAAATCATCTGATTTTACAGAACTTTGAAGAAAATGACTACATCTACACTGAAAATCATTTTGATAAGAAGTAAGACTTTTTTAATCAAGATAAGTTTTATGTAACTCGCATATAGAGTCACTTACTCGTAAAGATTTTTATTCCATTATTTCATTCTTTTAATTTCATGAGACTATTAATTGAACAAAGTTATCTTGATGCATTTGTTAAGACACCGTTTATTTATTTTGCTAATTAGTAGGCATTCTTTGAAGCAGAGACACAAATTTTCAAGTTTCAAATTATAACAAACTTTAAAATGCATGTATATCATGTATATCTGCAAGACAACATTAAATCAGTTTTAATAAACCTATCAATATTGCCTACGTTTATGGAATTGCATTTTCCCGTCAAAAAGTCTGTCCATTTGTTGAAAGCATTGTCTTAAGTTTTAAATGATATATTTCCAGCATCATGAATGGCGTACCCATTGGAACATTCCTGGTTCAAATGAGAACAAAATCAATGGTATGCAGTTGATTTCTACATTGAAGGATTGCCAAATAATAAAGAAATAAACTAAAAATGTAATATTAACCCGATTACATGATGAATGAAAAACTAGATATTTTCAATAATTATATATAGATAATTAAGATATTGCAGTGATTTAGAAACATTTTTGAAAATATTGATACTTGTCTTGGTACTTTTAAGTACATGCTTTTCGTTATTACCTGAAAAATAAAGAAACATTTGTTTTCATCTTTCTCTACGACAATTCATTTGAAAGGATAATCAACTATTCTTTTTACATTTTTGCAGGGATTTAGATTGCATGTTATGACACCAAAAGGGGTTATGTGCTTTAAAATATACGAGCAGGTATTTTTTCACTTTTGTTTCTATACTCTGATCGTTATATTACTCATACATTGTTAACGTTATTGATATTAGAATTCTTCACTGGTTACGTTATATAAATAAGATGTATGATTATCCCAAACTAGTATTTGCATTATGGCTCTATTTTATTCTTATAAGAGAAATTGGAAGAAAAACTTTTCATTCTTGATATTATTATATATAGTTTCATTAAATATGTTCTCGGTATTTTATATGTTATCCTGACCTGGTCCGTTGTTTACAAAGAAATCATTGAGAGTAGGATCAAATTATTTCACAATATGCCTAAGAATTCCATATACTTTTGAAATTATTATGTTTTAATGATGTTAAGATGGTGAATTAAGAGTATGTTAGGTGTTTTACGCATGAAGAAAGAAGCGCTGAATATGCAGTAATGTGTCGTAAAGGTAGCAATATATAAACAAAGTAGTATTTTGACTTTCAAACAAAGTACTTATTCACTATAATTATACCAATAGCCAACAGAACTAAAGATGCAAAAGATAGTTTATGCATAAAGCAAATGAATATTATGTTTAAGATACTGTAACAAGATATGTTTTTTGGATACAAATGAGGAATAACAGTACAAACAGCGATATAAACTGGATGATAAGGATCACATTTAGGATAAAGATAAATACTTGGATAATCATTTAAAAGGGTATATTTCGTAAAGGAACTTTTTATAACAATGTTGTAATCCTACATAGATAGTATTTATTATTCAGGATGGACAATTGTCACTCTATAAGCAGTTCAATGTTTCCTCGGCGGTATTTGGATCATTAAAGGCGTTTCTAAAACACTACAACGTCCATTGGTTGCCTAAGGAAGAATACAAAGTCAGGCTGACTAGAGGTTATAAAGCACGTCAAACAGCGGATTTATTATAAAAATATATACCGAATATAATCTCTCGTTGTAAACAAACTATAAGTTGTGTTCCAAATTTAATAGTTTACGCTTTATATGATAAAGATTTATGTTAGCTAGAATTATGAAATCAATTTTATAGTGAGTCATTGCTAATGGTGTTATTTTCACATATCATATTTTACATTACGGGGACTACATTTTTCGTTGTTGGTTTATTCTTTTCTTGTTAGTTATACTCGACCTTTTAAATCCAAGTTGATAATTTAAACAGTTTTTGCCATTTTTTTTTCTGGATTTTCCTTGGTGCATTTTTCATTTATTAAGGTAAATTGAATGAATTTATGTAAGAGTTGTCTTTCATTTTGCTGTTAAAATTAGTAACACATAAATTATTGTGAATGCTATCAGCTAAAAACTTTTTAACTTAAGCATTTAATAGTTATAAAGCTTGTGTGATGGGTTTTGCTGCAACAAATACTGGTCAAATAAAATTGGTTGATTTGTTCCTATTCACAAATAGTTCCATAGCTCCAGTATAAAATTTTAAGTATATGTTAATATATTTATGTAAGCTTTAGGTTTTACTATAAGAGACTATGATTAAGAATATTTATCATGACTTTTTTATTCCCTTCAAGTGGCTTTACATTCTTAATGCTTATGTATAATGTTATTTGAAGTCACTATCTTGTCTTTTAATGTTCAAACATACATATACCTATTCTGTCTAAAACGAGATAATGAAAAAGACAATATAGGACAATGTCAATTATTTATATTAAAAGTTTCAACTTGAGCATGCTATTTTGAAGTTTATAGTACAGTAACTGTTATTGTTTTGAATA